CCAGGAGAGTTTAAAAAGACTAGGAGTACCTAGGAAAAAGGAAAAGACATGACAGACTTGTAAGGTAAGGAAGGATGGAATAGTATTAAAGAAGTGTGTATTTTCATAAATTTTTATTATTTAGTTACTGTTCAATTCTTTTCTCAAAATGTATCTCCCTCAAGAGATATTTTGCAAGATGGACAAATGGAAAGATGATTGTTGAGGGAGAAAAAAAAATTGTCCCACATTAGAAAATATAGGCGGAAAAATGTGACAAAGGCTGACTAGCTCCAACAGAATGTTTTGCGAATGTGTGAATTGTACAATAATCTTTTAAAACAAAAACACTGGCTTTCCGTGCATCCCCTTGCCTACACACACCTACATGCAGATATACACAAACTTAGAATTAAAGCCAGAAATGACATATTGTTCAGTCTTGTATTACATAAACCAACACCATACAACTATATTCTTGAGAGATTCTTTTGAAGAGATGCAGCTAGCTCTTATTTACAGTATTAACTTAAAGGGAGTTCCATTTAGTGTTAATAATATTGCTTGGGTGCTCACTTGATATATTTTTTATTGGCACAATTAATCATGAGAATGAGTGAGACATCTGAAATGGGTGAGACACATATGTTCCAGCAGCCATCACTTGTAATTCCTACTTATATGCTTTACACGGTGCTCCAGCATTACCCAATTGCCTATTGCAGACCTCACTTACCTGGTTCCGCAGATATGTCCTCTTTCTATGAATCACAAACCTGGACAGAGTTTGAAGATTTATTTCTTCTTTTATACGTGCCCACATCTTGCAATGTCAGGTAGCATAACTCCAACCAAACCACCGTATCTATCCAGACATCCCACTAAATCCTCTAGAGCGTAACACACTCATGCTGCACATGAGGAGCAAGTCCAACATTTCTCTCAACACAGTGTTGGGTTACTGGGTCTACCCGATGTGGTTGTGTATATCTGCAAGCAACAACAACAACAAAAAAATATGGGCCATAGGGCTAGCACTTGTGCCATGATTCAAGGCACCCTCAGAACATTTGTTTTACTCCACGTGGCTAAACTGGTGATGCAGGGTGTCGGCAGTGAGGACAGTTGTTTCCTGAAAGTTTGTGTTTACTACAAAATGCTGTATAGTTGGCATATTCATCATTTTTTTATGTCTGTCCGTTAATTGTTTCATCAGGGGAAAGATGAATTAGTGATTAGCAAGAAGAAAAAAGATAGTCTTGTGTTTCATGCAGCTGAACACCAGTGATGTTCTTTCCTCTTCTCTCCCATGACACTTAAACCAGCATGTTACATACTTTGCCCTAGTTTTGCTGCTCCTCTTCTGAGTGACCAGTTTGAGACATGTAGGATTTGCTGTCTAGAGCTGATGAGGAGTCACACTTATACTAACTGCAACAGAAATCATTGACCACTTCTCAGAGGACATGATGGTAAATTCTGAAAAACCAATCCAGTGATATATAGCAAGGACATGATTGATTGGTGCACTTCTTCATTCATGACAATAAAATATTGCTTTTTGTATGTGAATGCATGCTATGTCTCCACACAACATATTTTACAGAGATACATGGCTAGAGGCATTCTTGAGTCCAAACTAGAAAACATTTCAATCAAATCTGCCTATCCGAATATGAGTTGATCAAATAATGTCTGCAATACAGTAAATACACATTTAAGTATAATGTAAAAAGTTTTTTTCTTTTTAAGTTAGCAATATAATAATCAGGATTGAAAATATTATAACTTAAAATATTTTGTGAGGCTTATGTTTAATAAACCTTTTATGAAATATTTAGAGTCTTCTGATAAGGAATTTACAGTTCTCATAGAAGCAGACTTTGACAAACACTTCAAGCTAAATAAGGTGTCATGTTCAATTCCTTATTCATCGTTCAAGCTAAATTGAGAAACTGTGCACTCTTCTACAGAGTAGGTTACACATCCCATAGAAATTATTTTTGAAATAGCTGTTCAAAATACTTAATTATCCTAGTAGAGTCTGCTCCTTCTTCAGGTAAGTAAAATAATGTGTGAAAAGATAAGAAAAAGAAGAATTTGCATCTTGACTTTTGCATTTTTGAAGTGATTGCTTTGTGACTTTGCTGTAATAAAAGCTCTTAAATCTGAATAATGGCAAGGAGATTTTCTTAAAAGAGCATTTTTTTATATATATAGTAGGTCATTCATGGATTTTTGCTTTATTGGTCTCTTCTGATGACTTTTCCTTTATGCTACTCTGATTATCCTGAATAATTCTATCTCTTTGTGTGACATATGCTACTGTGATGCTCAGCAGAAGCAAGAATTCTTGATGTAAGATTTCAAAGGATTCTTCCTTTCAATTCCAGCAGTGTCATTGTCCAAAGCTTTAGTCTGACATGTGATTCTTGCATAACTTTATCCAAATCATTTAGACCAGATTTTCACAGCCACTTGAGGGTTACTTCTACATGGTGATTGGCATCTAGAGTTAAGTGTCTTGTCTCTATGAATTGTGACTTAGGGAAAATTAGGTAGTTAAGAAGGGTATCTACAAATTCTTAAATGAGTGAGAACTATCTGGAGCTAGCAAGTGATGATGAATATAAAAGGTGTCTGAGAAGACTCGTTTTCCTGGAGGCCAAGTATCTGATTTCTCTGAGTGAAGGCTTCAGTGAAGAGCCTCTGGACCTTGAAAAGGATGATTCCTTTGGAAGTGCCTAATCTAATGCATGTAGTTAGAGATGTTAATGGGACACATTCTTCAATCTAAGTATATGTATAACTTTTTTCAAGACCACAACACAAACTAAGAAAACAGTAATTGATTTTTCCCCAAAAGCACTGATCTGTATCTGATCCTGAAATTGGTAGCCAATTTCCAAAAACATTATTGTGTTAAATGACAGCATGCTTAGAAAAAAACAGTAATAGGAATTTATTAGTCTAAGATTTTTTTTGATACTTGTCTAATCAAAACAAGCACTGATGTAAAAATGCAATTGGCAAGCAAGTGATTCATAACACAGTTTAATAGCTATTTCCATTTTGAAAAGGCAGATGATCTTTACCTGGAATAATGTAAATTAAGGACTGAACTATATCCAGGTCTGCAAATTTGAAATGGTTGAAAGAAGCTTTTCCTACCCAGTGGGTCAGACACCAAGATAGTAAATATTCCTATATATACTGAGATACTTAAAAGTGGACAGAGTCCTACAACTGAGGCCTTGCCAGCACAGATTCCAGTCATTGTATATCTTCTCAAGCCTTTTCTGTATATTGTAATAATCCCAGATTGACATTTGCCACTTTTTACGACAGTATCACATTGCAAGAATCCACTTGACATATCTTCCTGGTTTGACAGTGCACCACTAATAATTATTCTTTGAGATGCTTCTTCTTGTGAATTCTACATCCACCTTACAGTAATTTAATTCGTATTTCTCTTGTTTATCTCTCAGAATGTCATGTGCATCCACATCAAAAATCTTTGCAAAATCAAGCAGTATCACATCTCTTGCTTCCTCCTGTCCAACGACTGGCTATCCTGTCAAGCAAAATGTTTCAATACTTTGTGGTGACCTGTTCAAGACAAATTCATGCTGTCTGTCTAATATCTGTTTGATATTTACAGAATAATTAAACCTTAATTGTTTTACATTGTCTTTCATTTTCTTTCTGGGTCCTGAAATTAGTCTGAATATCCTCTGATCCTTCCTTCCTTCTCCACATTTAAAAACCAGACACATGCGTTTTCCTACTTTTTCTGGAGCCCTGGAATGTTCACTGTTATTCTTGAGTTCTCAAAGATGCTTCAGAAATTTCTTTGATTATTTTCTTAATCACTGCAGGGTAAATTTTACTATGCTCTGTTAACTTGAAGATATATTTAATAGACAAATTTATGTACGTGAATGTTCCCTAAACAGCCCTTTCCTGATTCAGGACTGTTGCAATACATACTAATTATGTAAAATATCTGATCACGTCAGGAAATACAAGACAGAAATGTAGGAATGCCAAATGTTAGGGTTCTTTGTCTCCTTCCCTACTGCCATCTGTTTTTTTATCTTTAGCTATCCTTATTTTGTCCCTATGCCGCTGAATAATTAAGTTTTATTCTTAATACTTACTCACTTTCATTTATGTTAATGGTTGCTTTTTGATTTTCAGGTCAAAGAGCTCCTTATTGGTCTCCTGTTATGAAGGGCTCCGTTAGTCAAAATAACTTGATGTGTGCACTCATTAACACTGTTCACAGAATTTCTCTAAAATCTATTAAAATCCTTTTCTCTTTAAAATCTCCTCTAAATTACCTTTCCTCAACCTGTGCTAAAGTCTTACTGCACTTATTGAACAATATGTGTATCAGAGATACCACTCTGTTCTTTCTTGAATGCATGAACACAGCTATATATAGACAGAATAAAAAAAAAAAAAATGTAAAGTTTGAATCGATTTAATCACTTAAAAGGGTTCCTGTTCAGGAAGCAGTATCCAGTGACTAATACCTACATGCCTCAAACAGTAAAGTCAAGTTAGTAGCTGCTGTCAGGTCTTCTTCAGAGAGTGAACTAATCTTGAATCATAGTTTCTGTGGCTTTATTTTAAGTCAGATATTATTGTAAAATGAGATGCATAAAATGGGCAATATGACTGAATTTTGCTTTTGTCATTTGGTATAAATAAAAGCACATACTGTTGTCTTGCTAAATTGTAAAAGTTTTAAATGCACTTTGCTGATATCTCAGATAGCTGGCAGTCATTTAAGATTAATAAATCACCCTTCTCAAAGGAAGTTTCACATTCTCTGTCACTCAATTAGAGGAGGGAAGATGAGGATAGCTGTTTTGATCTTTCCTGCATCTCAAAATTATAGCAAAACTATGTTCCAGGCTTCCTGGAAAGTATTCGTGCCCAAAGGGAAGGGAGAAATGTTCACAAAGGGAGGCATCTAATCCCACCACTGCCTTTCATTTTGTTCCATCTAGTCATGCCGCGCTTTGCAGAGCAAGTGGAGGTTGCCATCGAAGCCTTGAGCGCCAACGTCCCACAGCCATTTGAAGAGAACGAATTCATAGATGCCTCCCGCTTGGTTTACGATGGAGTTCGCGACATCAGGAAAGCTGTTCTGATGATAAGGGTATGTAAGGCACCTGGGGAATAAGAGCTGGGGCTTCACGTACAAAGCTGCTTGGGATCAGGCTTGCTTCAGAGTAAGCTAGAAGAGCTTGACTTGGAACCAAGTGTAAAACCAAAGTATGCATAGCAGAAGAGGTTTTGCAAGTAGAGGGAGTACTATTTTGTCACTTGTAAGTGAAGCTGAAACATATTTTAAGAAGCATTAACAGAAGCTCCATAGACAACTCTTTCCACCTTAATCGTCATCTGTCACACCTGATTTTTCTGTCCCAAGGCCTCTCAGCTCAGAGACTGGCATGTTGTTAATTTAGATAGTCTGGCTTTCCCTATAAAATAAATCCAGGATACGCACCAAATTATGTTGTTAATTAGCTAGGAGAAGATTTGATTCCAACTGCCTGTAGAAACAATCTTCATTCTGGTAAAGCTGTTTCCACTTTTTTTTTTCTTCTTCCTCTTAATGTATGTATGCTGCCTGACATATAAGTCTGGTTAAAACCTAAATGCATAAATACATTATCGTGCTGCTTTACTGAGAGTCTGATAAGATGATTTTGTATGTTTACTGGGGAAAGAACGTGTCATCTCAGCATTGAATAAGAAGCTGATTCAGGCTTTTTTTTTTTTAAGCTAAACAGCATAATAATTGTGAGTCGATATGCATCTTGATTTTCAGTATACTCCATAGCCAAAGATTAGAGAGAGAGAAAAAAAATAGCAAAGAAAACTGGTTTGGACATCCCTTCAGGAAGTGTAACTTATCCAAAACCAAAATTCCAAACCAAAATTGAAATTGTCCTGCAAAAGCTGCCTACAAACATAGCTATGGGGTAAACCACTGAAGGAAAACTGCCCCGTATTAAACAACTAACCATGTTAAAAGAGCAGCTCATCCCTTGGAGCAAAGAGATAGCACACACTTGTGCTTGTGAGTATGGTATGGTACTGGCGAAGGACTTCAGGCAGTTGGAACGCTCCAAAAGAGCTTCATTTCAATCATCTGTCACTGTGGGTTAGCATTTACCCAGAAAGCTTTTGAGACACTTAATTTTATATCTGCAGAACATAAATTCCCTTCCGGTGTCCAATGCTAATCCCAGGTAGCCTAAATTATAGCATGACTCATTGTGGGAGTACAATCTTCCTTTTTTGTCTGGCTAGGCAATAATATTGGGGTAGATGCGATATTGGGGGAGGTTCCATATTGGAGTAGATACAGCTCTTCCAGATTAGAAAGGAAAGAATAGATCTGCCTCATAAGGATCTTCATTTTTCCCTTGTCTACTTAGTTCCACAGTTTATAACTGTGGAGCTTTTTTTCCCAGCAATTTAAAACAAACTTTTCTGAGGGCAAGAGTTCCTGCTGCACTTCAGATCCCTATGTGAGTGCTGGCGTATCTATGTGTCCTGCACATGTGGCGAATGTGACTCAGAGAGGAATAGACTTTCCTCTGCATATATTAGATACATTTTAGTCTTTTGTAGTCACAAAAGTCCTTGTAGCCTTGGTCATGAACTATATTTTGGCCTGAGCTGTAATTTGCTATGGAGCTCTTTTTTACTGTCCTCTACGCAGAGCTCTGGCTTCCAGCACCGCCTTGGACATCAGAGCTGTCCCAGAGAAGTTACTGTAAGATTCACCATAGTGAATGAGATTTTTCTGCTATGCCTACAGCACAGTTTTAAATTCTGGAGGTGCATTCCCCTTATTTCATTATTGTCTTATTGCTATAGTTAACCACTAGCTTGGAAAGCTGATCAGCATGCAGGCTTCACAGGCTTCTCCAAGCATCCCAGGTTATTTGTGCAATTGTATCACTGCTACTTTGAGCTCCTTATGCAATATGAGCTAATGAGTTCTGCTTAGGCAGATGAGAAAGATGTATTTTTGCACTCAGACAATTAACTCATGCATGGAGCTAAATTTAGTGTTCCTTGCTCAGGCAAAGTACCAAAGCATATGAGCAGACTGTGGTCGTTAGCCTCATGAGTTAATTGGGGAAATTCTTATCTATCAATTTACATAGATTGGTATTTGCTGAATCAGAACTCTATTTTATACACCATTGGAAAATAATATGAGTTTCAGTTTGGCACACTCCTTTTAGCATACCCATTGGACATCTCTAGGGCAACAGAGCCTGACTTCTGCAAAAACTTCTGGGTAATAGTATTTTCACAGAGGTTCAAGAAGTGTAGGGCAGAATGGTCTATGCTCCCCTAATCATCTACCCATCAATCTTGTGTTGAGATTGCCAGAAAAATTATTGGTTGAGGAAGGAGGATTTTCTTGTCTTGTCTTTCTGCCTCCTAACTATCCAGGTGGCATGTTCCAAGCAGGCACACAATAGTGAGATACAGGCAGAAAAAATTATTTTGCACCAAAATGGAATGTAAAATTACAGGGTGAGGATTAAGCTACAAAAGACAGGTGTTAGATTATTTTTGTCTGGTAGTTCATTAATTCTCACATGCACTTTTTTTTTTTTCCCCTTCAGGCTGTACAAGTTCTCGCAAAAGTATAAAAAAGCTTGCAAACTTCTCAGTGCATCTGACATAAACAATTATTGTCAGACAGTAATTGTTCATGTGCACGCCACAAAAAATTGAATTTGCCCGAGATGCTTTTCTCATTCTGTGAGGAAATAAACCCACATTTTAAATTAATTTTCGGTGGTATTATTACTTTTAGCAAGCTGAAGAAAGGCATCAGGCGAAAGGGGGAAATCCCTGTTCTTTTCTCTTGGGAAGGGGACATATAAACGTCACTCTGGAAGAGAAAGGAGGTTCATTTTTGCCTTGGGGACTATTGATGTAATCTATACAGAAGGAAAAAAAAAAAGCAAAAAACAAAAAACAACCTCTTTCACATCTTAAGATGTAGTATAAAATTAGGAGTACAATTACAGGACCTAAAAATAAGATAGAAAATAAAAACTCAGTTCCCTCATCTTTTCTGTTACTGTGTGGGAATCAAATAATCAAATTACTTTATTTTTCCTCAAAGCTGCTTATAAAATTTCCTTGATTATTAGACTAAAACTTGCTCTATGGCTGGGAAGAGTCACGGTTGCCTCTTTGCTATTGACAACCTTACTGGTAGTTGCATCTAGGTTAGTGTGGCCACCATATTTCTTGAGATCAAGTATGCCTTTCTGCAGGAAAACTCCAAGTGTTTTCACATGTCATGATTTAGTTCATGTTGGGGAGTAGTCCTTGGCATATGAACATGGCTTTTGCGCATGAAATTGCAAGACATGTTAAATGCACTCCAGTTGCTAAGGGACATTCAGGCCATGCAGACTAGAACTAGGCTGAAGTTGATGTAAAAGCCTCTGCAGTGAGGACAGCATAAATTCTGGGTCCTCTTTACCGGCTGTTTTGATGTATGAATCCTCTCCTGCTCTTTCAAACTGCCGGTTAATGTGGCCTTAACCATGATCCCCTTGGGAATAAATCAATGCCGTGAAATCCAAGGTGTGCTCCATCCTGGATCTCCTGGAAAGTGAGGCTCGGGGCAGAATCCAATCATCTTTTTAAATAGCCTGTCTCCTAAGTGTACTAAAGCAGGGTCTGTTATCTACATTGACTGCCTGTTGCTTTTCAGGTTGAATTTAGAGGGTTAGTTTTTACTATAAATCATTAAATAGCTGGAGACCTGCTGCTTGAGAGACTCGCTGCCTTTGCCAGGCAGAGTGTGTTTGCAGCACCTGAGTCACTCAGGCTGCAACTGCCTTTGTGCAAAAACAACAGCCTGGAATAGTCCAGAGTTGAATATAAAAGCCTATTACAAAACCTTTCTTCTCCTTACCTTTTAGAGGTAGGGAGCACTTTACTGGTGAAGAATAGGGGCATAGCTATTCACTCTTCCTTTTTTTTTTCATCTTGGGAGGTTATGGACTTCGTGTTTGCGGTGCTGAATTTATTATAATTGCATGTTACAATGTTTAAATGCATAGAGCACCAGAGCCTAGTGGGTCTTTTATCTTTATCAAGTATATTTGAATCAAGTATATTTGAAGTGAAATATGAAACAAAAAGCATTTACAAATCTGCACATCTGTGCCATTTTACATCTTATGTCTGCATAATTCCCATATTTATACTGGAGGTACAAAGGATAGAACAAAATTAAATTGATTGAAGATATGTTGTTTACAGTGAACTCTGTGGCCTACCAGAGATGTAACAAAGCCAATCGCAGGAAGCTGAAACTCACCAAATTCACCTTAGAAAAAAAGCATGCATCTTAAAAGTGAAAGCATATACTTTATAATATGGATATGGATTATATGACTGATTTATCTGCTATTGTGAAAGATTCTCCTTCACTGGGAGAATTCAGTAGAACTGGATAAAGGAGTAGTAGAGTAGAGTAGTAGTAGAGATGCTGTATTTGTAGTAGAGATGCTGTATTTGGAAGAAAATTAGCACTGGGAAGGCCTATGTCCTGTGTTTGCAGCAAATCACACTAAAAGCTATCTTTCATTGCTCACAGTTTACACCGCTGGGACCTGAAGCTTTTAAGGTCACCCCTGGCTGATCTCTTCAGGTTAGGCTGTTACTGTGCTGCAGCTCTGACCATGAAAATCAGGACTTGGACTGCATACTCAGTAGTCTCATATATATAAAAATATGGAGCGGAAGAAACTAAACAAGTAGATTTGGGCTAGGGCACTGTCTTTATAATGACCATCCATTGGGTTGAATGGGGCTTTGGATGATGGGGAGGAGCCAGGTGTTTTATGAAGAGGGTGGAGAAACTCTCCATCCTGTTCCTATTCTTTGGAGCTAAGGGTGGGCAGATGAAGAGCTGGGACCTATGGCTGGGAATATGTGGCTGTTTTGCCACAGAGTTGCATGCTTCTGTTAGCTGCTGATTTGCTTCTGGTAGATTTTAAAGTCACAGATTGCCCTCAGGCAACTGAAACCAGAGAATAAAGTGATTAGAGAAATTTGGACAGAAAAGGCATTGGACATTATAATGATGGATACCTAGCAGTCATCACTTCCTGTGGCAGGCGAGAGAAGACAAATTCATTTTTTCATCTCGGCATAATCTCCCATCTTACCTGTTATACATGCGCTTGGTGCGTGTGTCTCAGCAGAAACTCTGCCTGAGTTTCATTATCACACTGTCATACTTGGTTACTTCTTCCTTCAGTGCTCAACGTCAGAGCACATATTGCAGTCTTGCTCCTCAAGCCCAATGAAGATGACTCTGTTTTTCATCTCTGCATCCTGTGCACCCCACCATGTAGCTGATTTGCTGCTAGAACTGTTGATGCGCACTTCGTGTTGGAAGCCAGGCTGTAATATAAATATCTTTAGAGGCTTTGGACCAGTTCCTAGTGACGGAGCATCCTCAAGACAGAGCTGTAATGACAACTGGCAATGATTAGCACCTCAGCTAGGAAACTTGACAGTGCCTCCAAGCGAGAGATGCCAGCATGGATGATTTCTTCCGTAATGGTAGCCCCACTGGGTTAACGCTGAGGCATACAGGCATGCAGTAAGGTGAGGATTTCACAGCCGCTGTTGTGATCCCCTTTCTCTATTCCTACTATTGTATGTGGTACTTTCTGAAGTTACTCATGGCCAGACCCTATTGTCCTAGGTGCTATTCAAGCCTAAAATATCATCTTCCTTTCTAAAATCTGTATTTCTGTCCTTGCACATTCTATTTGTAATACAGTACTAAAAATTATTTAAAATACACTCTTTGTCTCTCCATATATACCAAAGCTTTTCTGCTCCTATTCAGTGCTAGGAGGTGAAAATCCTCATGAAACAGATCCAGCGGTATCTTCTTGCTCCTTCCTGCCAACCTTTTAAGCAACCTTTTAAACAGCTCAGGTTTCAAACTGGAGGGCAGCACGTACGTAACTGCATTTGAACACTCTGCCAAGAGACCCTCACATTCTTCCTAGCACCAGCAATGAACATAAAGTGGCTTCAGATAGATTGAGACAAGTTCCAGGGATCCGGATCTGAGAAGAACTGTGTTTTCCTAACTAGCAGGAGAAAGGGATCTTTCTTAAACTCTATATTTGTTTCCAAAGAGGTTAACAACATCATTTGCATTTCCTTTCCGGGGGGATGATATTTTATTCACTTTGATAACATATCCTTTTTTTTTCCCAAATGTGAGTTACCTTTTGCCAGATACTGACTTTTCTCCTTGAAGATTATGTGGAGATTCCAGTAGTATAATAGAATTAGTGTCCGTTTATAAATGGAATAAGATTATTTCAAAACACTGTATTCTGGTTGTTAATGTTTCCAAAGAATATTTGTTCCGGGAACTGTGCTTGGCATAGTAACAGAGTTAAGAAAAGTTGCATAAAGGTAATGATAAATGACATTTGTAAAGGAAACCAGAGTTGAAACAACTTAATTTTTAAGGCAATTCAATTTCAGTTCTTGACTGCTTGGGCAGACAAGTTAATTTAAAAGGAAAGAGAAACAGCATTTCCTGGGAAGGTAGTCGATGAAATAAGAGCTTACTGTACATTGGACTTTGGTCGTATCTGTTATAAGCTTGTCATCTCTGCTCTTTTGCTTTCTCTCCCTGTCTCTCTTCCCAGACCCCTGAAGAGCTGGAGGATGATTCAGACTTTGAGCAGGAAGATTATGATGTTCGCAGCCGAACAAGTGTTCAGACTGAAGATGACCAGCTTATTGCTGGACAGAGTGCAAGGGTGAGTATAAAATTCATGTACTACTTTAACTGTCTGTAGAGCCAGCAATGAAAAGTGATGCCTCGGAAAGCAAACATAATGATTTTACATCCTCAGGGTCACATAAGAAAGTAACCTTGGTGTTTAAAGGTTTTTTTGTGTCTCACTTCCTTGAGAAGCCCGGAGTTTATTGAAAGATCTTCCTTAGGCTTATGTGAGGCCATGTGTCAGCCGTTTGCTCCAGCTAGTGCTGGGGGAGAAGGCCTTGCACGTTTGAGAGGTGCTGCATCTATAGGAGTATTTGGAAATATAAAGAAGATAAAAAGCAAACAGAAAAAGAAAAACACAAATAATCGCATCACCGTGTGTTGCATTCAGAGAAGTCATATATTAGTCATGTTTTTGTGTGTGCTAACTTGTCAAGGAGAGCTGTTTAAGGTGGCAAATAGTCCCTGTAATTTCATCATAATTGAAGACATTTGTTATCGAATTGATGTGATTTTACCAGGATAATTATATCATGATAAACTGGAGTCATTGTGATTTGTGACCTTCGCTTATGCATGAGGATTGCAAATTAAGATGATAAATGCTGCAGGGGTCACAGGTGCTGGGGAAGTGAAGTTTGTTGGCACATGGGATCATGCCACCTTCTGATGAGTGTTTACCTTTCACTAAATAGGCTGCTTAGCTCAAATTAAAAAAAAAAATCAGAATACCATTTGGCTGGAAAACAACATCAATATGAAAATATGTTTGACTAGAAAGAGAGAGTTAAAAACAAATAATCCAGATGAGAATTGGTGGGGCACTGAGAATTATGTGAGTTATTTTGATGGTAGTTTCACATATGCCTGTATAAGTGCAAGTTTCTTCTAGTTTCTTCTAGTGGGACAGCCTGAGTAAAGGGAAATGATCAGTTAAATGACAAACGATCTCCTGTACGCTCAAACACAGCAGCAAAATCTGGTAACTGGGAAAAAGTGACATGTTACCTTTAATCCCAGGAAAAAAATATCCAAGGATTAGAACTTGAAGACAAAAAGGCAATGACGCTTTGGAGGATGAATTTAGAGGACAGAGAAGGGGAAGTTTGCTTTTTTTTTTTTTTTTTCAGGAAGACCCAGAGTACGTTAAGCCTTGAAGCAAACATTTTAGATTCTGAAAAGAAAGGGTATAGCAATGGAAGCCTAAATCAGATTTCCTTATAGGTCTGAAAGGAATATAAGACAGGGGTAAAACTGTACTTGCAGCGCTTGCTTTCCATAGTAAATCTATTTTCCTTAATATTGATGACAAGCAGGTCATACCATGTGTTGGAAAAGCTCATTTTCTGTTACTGCATTCCAAGGCCAATAATTTAGCACCCGCAATTGGGCTTGCTGGAAATCATGACTAGGAACTGGTCACCTAGGTGAAGACTAGCTGGACTGCAGGTCCCTTCCCAAAGGGGTGTAAGTGGAACCGATACTTGAGAGCACGATGCCAGGAGAATTGTAAAATGATACCTGGATACTTTACCTTGAGAACTATGATGAACATTCAGAATACAAATGGAAATCTTTGTTTCATTTTTATATTTTAAAGAATATAAAGTCATGTTTGATATATTTAAAGGATTGACTACCAAGGGAAATTTCAAATACTAAAATTTTGAGATATACCTAAGCTTGAGATAGACCATATCATTCTTTCTTGGTCTGAAAAAAAAAACAAATTAGAGACTGCAATAATGTTTTAACTAAGCTATTATTTCAGCTCAGACCTTAGGAGTCTTAAATTCTATTATGTTTGTTGTTGTTGTTATCACTGCTGCACTTAAAAACTTCTGCTTTGATCATGTACACACTGTATGAACATCTCCAAATAAAATAAAAGCAAAAAATGAAAACATGGTAAGCAGAAACTGTACACTCCACTGTGTTAAGTGTTTCATTGAAATGAGTCTGCTAAGCAGAATAATGCCTTATTTGAAGCTTTTCTATAGAAAAGCTAGATTTTTAGTTGTGGACTGTAATGGCTTTGTTTAATATGCCTACTCCCTAAAGCTATTAGCATTTCAGTTGAAGAGCTTCTGTTGGTCTTCAGTAGAAATAAAAGTTGAATATATGAGCTGCATTTGCTGTAGGCATATAGCTTTTTTGAAAAGGCATGAGCAACTGGAATAGAAATAGGATAAAGTGTGTGGGTTAAGCTTTCAGGAGCTTAAAGAGAAACTACACAGAAGACATACAGATCAGCCTTTGAAGCACTCCATATCATATCCTCTTAATTGCAGTTAATTCATCTGTTCTACTGTTTTATACATATATTTATATATTTATTTATTACCTTGACTTACACTGCAGTTTTCCTTGGAAAGACTAATATGCTAACATCTGAAACTGCTGAGTTACATTGATAAGGCCTAATTAAAGCTCATGTGTTGAATTTTAATTTGATTAACTTGAAAACTTCTCATTTTCTGATCTGCTGTTTATAACCTTTTTTTAATTTCAGTTTTGGAAAAGGTCAATTATAAATTTTTAAAAGCCAAGAGCATTTTAAGAATATGTAGAGTAAGGCTTCAGTTGATTGAAAGTGACATAAACAAGAAAACTGTAATGACACTTAAATATATGTCACACCCCATTAAATACATAATGTGGTCTTCAAAACCCTACAGCCAAATAGCAGCTCAACTTGGAAATCATTACTGGAAGTGTCCATTTGATCTTCAAAAGCAATTATTATAATTTTGTAATTTTAAAAAATTTTTGGGGAAACTTTCTGCCTTGTTGGTAATGTCGAGGCAGATTAGTATGGACCTATTTAGTGGCTTTTTGCATATCCTCCAAAAGATATCTCAACCACTGGATGTTGTGGGAAGGTACATGCATTACAAATGTCCACTTCATATGTATTACTTAGCATGTCATAATTTATTTTAGTGTTGGGTTAAGCAGAAAACCTCGGTATTTCTGAAAGATAATGAAGATGAGGGAGATAGATAGGGAGACAGACAGAGGCAGTCTCTGTCTTTTACCTCAGATTTTTTTCTTTTTGTTCTTCCTAAAGGCTAAGATGTAACAGGAGCTGTTCCTCCGTCATCCAGTATGGACCTGTGAATAACCTGTATGTCAAAGCATCATACATACAGTCTTTTAATTTATAAAAGGTATAAAAAGACCTGTAAACCTGTAAAGGTATTCACCCTCTCCCAAAAGAAGACAAATATTTAACAGTTTTTCCTTGGCATCTTCAACTCCCACCAAAGAAACTAGAAGTGAGGCAACCTGTTTAGACTGTTGTAAATGGTTATAGTTTCTAGCTTTCTTTATGTCCAACTTCTCCCATTTTTCCTCCAGGCTATCATGGCTCAGCTCCCCCAGGAGGAGAAGGCTAAAATTGCTGAGCAGGTGGAGATATTCCATCAAGAAAAGAGCAAACTGGACGCCGAGGTAGCCAAGTGGGATGACAGCGGTAATGACATCATTGTGCTGGCAAAGCAGATGTGCATGATTATGATGGAAATGACAGATTTTACTAGGTAAGGACAAAATAATCCATGCTGGGGGCTTCAGACATCCTGCATCTTTCCATTAGGTTGCAGGTTAGACCTTGATGAGGTGATGTGCTGTGTTTTGGGGTACCTACAGCCAGACATCCCACTTCATATGTAATGGGATGGTTAGTATGGTTCTCTACACGTGGGATATATCTCTCTATATCTCTGGATATTTCACCACGTGGGATTAAGTCTAAGAGGTTTTTGTTTTATTTGCAGATCCATCTTATCATCTGGAGCGTTAGTGGCAAAGATAGTCTGTGACCTTACAGATGCTTAGCTGACATTTCATTTAGTTCCCATCTAAATGCATGTGCTTCTCTGAACTTTCAACATTTCAACACAATTTGTGTCAATCAAAAATAATGGCGTAACTATTTATATCATATTTGAAGACTGAATTTCTTTCAAAAAAAATCTCAAAGTAAATGAAACTGGTTTAATCTAACACTAGATTCAAGTCATTAATTAATTATTTTTGCTTTCTTTTTTTTCTATTAATCCCGTCCTCACTTCTGATTGCAATGTGTCTAAAGGCAGTTCATTAATGGTATCATATAAAGAGAATTATTTTATTTAAATATACTTGTACTGTTAATCATACTAGAAAGAACATTTTACAAGATTCTTTGAATTAGTGTTTATTTTTAACAATGGTTCAAAAAGATAATTTTTGGTATTAATGGTATTAATTATATAAATCAAAGTATGATTAGAGATAAAACTAGACAAATATCTTCATATTTTTCTTCAGAATTAATATAAGACATACTCATATCTTGTGTCTGGAACCTTCAACTCACCTCAGAGAAAATTTCTGCGTTAATAATATCAAATTTGCATATACAAAATATGAATGTATACAAATATCATTAATTTACAAATAACTTGAATATTTACACTTATATAGGTAGTAAACTGCTATAGGAAACTGCAAACAGTTTTATACATTTATAAATTAAATGTTAATGGAAGAAGCTTTGCTTTTACTTTACTGCTACAGGTATTTCTGGATAATTAGTCTCTCAGTTTACTCATTTTTTCTCAGTTTCTGCTTTTATAGTTATTCTTTCAGCAGTGGAATCATTGGTCATGTATAGTGAACAGCAGTGCACAACTTCCCGCAGAGATCTGTTTTAGAGACAGTCTTATTTACCTTTATAGACTAGTCTTTGTGTCTCTTATCTATCCAAAAACAGTGAAAAATTGCCCAAGCAGTGTCATCATTTCACAGAAGTAGGAAATAATGTCCTAAAGTACCATCACAGAATATACAAGACTCTCTGCAACATCCTTGACAACCTTTGATACATTAAGATTTGAAAGGAAAGTTTTGTAATTATATTTTCTTTCATTAAAAAAACAGTACTAATATGTGAATGAGAGAAAACCACTGTCACATTTGGGTTTAAAAGAAAAAGAAAGTGCACCTCTGCCAATGTCAGATTCAATAAAAACTTATTAGAAATATTCCATTAAAAGCAGAACAAAGCCCTTCCCACCTTTTGGGCTAACTGTAACCTCAGAATAGAATAGTTTTTCAAATGTATGGAATTTGTAACAGTTGGATGTGCTGATATGCTGACATAATTAATGTAAAGGCATGTAAGGTCAGTATTAAGGATATCTCTTATAGTTTAAGTTCAGAAAAAGTGGGATACTTCTGTTTGATGTGGAAATGAGAGGAAAAAAAGAAGCAAATGGAAATACATTTACATGTATTCTTTGTAGCAGTAGAGCTGAAAGAAATAACAATGCTCTTTCAAACATAAACTGTTGTCATTAGAAAAATGCCTTCAGGCTTAGGTTAAAAAAGACTAAGTTTGGGCAGCTCTCTATTTTCCCTCCAAGTTGTCTGAAGATGCCTTTTTTTTTCCAAGCAATATGAAAAAAAAATCATCGTGCTTCCAACTGGGACGTGCTTGTGAGCAATGGTAAAAGTATTAGAACTAGAGTTGGAGTTTTGATTCTGAAAGAAACCCAGGAAAATCTGCAGTGACTTTTTGCTTCCTTTTAATACACATTTTGTTAACTTTATTGATTAAAATTAGAGTTCTGTGCATCATCTTACAAGTAATTGTGAAAGATCAGTCTTGAAGCTAATTATGCAGGGTTTATGCCTAACAGGATTATGCTTCAATTATCTTTGTTGCTAAAAGAGCTA